AGATCTCCTGCCCGTCAAACTTTGGAGCTGTCTCGCGCGGTTCCGAACTCGAGTTGTTGGCGGTAGTACAGATCCGTTGCTCCAACTGTTGCGTTGCGGTCTGGTGTAACTGCACGCCGTCCTTGAGGGAGTCGACATCCATCTCCAATGCTTCGAGGCGATCGGAGGTGTTGGAAGAGCTGGTGTGAGGGGCAGCAACARGTCGCTGCTCCAGCTGTYGGAGGCGGCCGTGGACTTGAGTCAGCGCGTCATCGAGGCTGTGGATGTCCTCCTGCTGTGTAATGCATGTTGCCAGGAGGTCCGTCAAGTGGGAGAGGAGTAGAGCGATCTTGTTTTCGTTATTCTCCATCTTGCCATTCTCGGCCTCTGCCCGCCAATCCACTGCCATTGTGAGCAAAGTTTGCTCTCCGCTAAATATCTTCTCCCGCCGTTGCACTTCTTTTTCATCAGCAGCCTTTGCTGCTGCCTCGTCGTCCTGGCGCAGTTGTGCAAGTGCCAGTAGACGTGCCTGCTCGGTGTCCTCTGCCTTCTTCTTCGCGGCTGTTGCTGCGTCATCCGCCCGTTTCTTGGTTTCGGTACTCCAGGCCAGCATCCGGGCCTGATAGGCCTCCTCTGTTTCTGTGGACCGCTGGTCCATGACGGATGTTTGTGAACACAACAGCATAGACCAGGCCGGGGGCCTGCTGACGTGGTATTCCCTGCTGCTGACGTGGCACTGCTATCGGCTGACGTGTCCTGCTGACRTGGCAACTTACCAATGCCGCCACAAGGGATTCCCGAAAATAAATCAAATATTCGGACTTACTCAGATGAGAGTATTCGCAGTTTGGAAAATATTACCTGCAGGAGGGATGTCCCGTACCGTTTTCAGAAGAAAAAAAATATTCCGAACTTCCAAGTGACGGGAAATGCAACAGGAAATCGAAATTTTGGAAAAGAAGGATATTACGGATTTTCAACAACGAAATTTCGAGCTTTCAGAAGAAAAACGAAAGTGGAAATTTCATACGTTGCGCTATTGCGATTTTCCACAACAGAAATAGCGAGAAAACCAAATCCAAGAAAACAAAAAAAAWTCGATTTTCGGCAGTAAGTAGCGRATGCAGTACCCAGGGTTCGATCCCTAGACCTCACCCTACCCATGTACAGTATCTGTGTAGACCCCGAGAATTGAACCTGTGACCTGTGTATTCGTAGGCAGTTGGTAGACCTSTYGTAGGTCCATAGACAGCARGGGTTCGATCTGTAGGTCTATAGCGTAGGAGTCTTAGTGAGTTCTGGAAGCTTAGCTGTAGACCTTCTAGAAGGTAGGCAAGTGGGCAAGTGGTCAAGTGGTGAGGCAAGTGGTGGACTAAACCGCAGTGCAACAGCAGTGCAACGGCGGTAG